CCGTCATTTCACTTGTTTCGAAATTTTCAAAAAACACATAAGGGGGGACCCTTATGTGATTTTTTTCGACCAAAAAATTTTTTTTTGGGTTTTTCGATATTTTTTTGGTCAGACAGACAAACAATCCGAAATACGAAAAAAAATGGAAAAAATTATATTGAGAGCTCAAAATTTGTCTCAAAAATACAGAATTTTTGACACCGGGCCTTCCGGGCCGGGCCCGGGCCTTGAAAATTTTCTCAGGCCCGGGCTTTGGCGGGCCCTCCCGGAATTTTACAAGAATGCTGAAAACATTTATAAATGCTGCACTGAATGTGAGCCGAAAAAGCCGGAACTATACCCTGTTATTCCTTGGCATTGGAGATCGTTGTCAATTAAAGAAGAAGAAGAGTCGAAAGAAGAAATAGTAAATTTTAAAAAGTCCATCCAAGCATATTCTATCTGCTGCTTTGGTAACAAGATAAGTCAGCTGCGGAGGTAGAAGTGCTACTGCTTGAAACATAATTTCCTTTCTAGAGTCGCTCGACCGTGGGAAACCACATGATCGCGGAGTAGGAGCTTCCGCGCGTTTTTATAAAAGTTATTATAGAGACTTCGCTTAAGAGATTAGGATTTCTGGTAATGAACAGTCTTCGGTTACACGTTGTTTTAGAAATTGTTCAGTTTAAAATGTGAGACCATTTGAACCCCAATCGAGGAAAATGTTCTGTTGCGGAATAAATTGCATGGGAAAATAATTTTGATTGAAATTAAAAAAACTCTTATTTTCCTTGAAGTTTCCGACTGTTTGAGGAGATTTGTCTTTCAATATTTAAAAAAAATCGAATGTTCAATTGATTCTTATTTTAGGCCATATTCTCAATATAAAGGAATGACTGCAATGATCTGACAGGACTGCTTTTTATTATGTCAAAGTTTTATTTAAACAAATATTTTAAGTTTCAAACAAATGTAATAAACCACCAATCAATATCACTACAAATAACCAGTAGCAGTAATACACTTTTTCCAGTTATTCTCCCTTTTTGACCGCCGGATTCTCCCTTTTGACCGCCGGGCATTCGTTTTCTGAATCGGTATCCGTTGATTCGATTACTCCTTGCACCGGCACAAACGATGCTTTGAAGTGCCCGCAAAATCTGTGCAGTTGGACTGCAAATGAATCTTAATTAATGATCGGAACTCATACGAATTTTGAGAATGACAGTAAAGCTCACTTCGTAAAGTAAATCCGAATATTGCTTGTGCTCCAATCCCTATCACCGCAATACTCTCGTCAAATTTGGCTGCTCCAGTTGCACTTTCTCTAACATCCAAATAATAGTCTTCCATCGAACAAGTGGTCGTTGTCAGCATCGAAAGCCCGTGTAGAAAACAATAGACCATCCAGAAGAGGTGTACGAGCTGTAACTGAGAGTATTTTACCAATTAACGTCACTACTCAACATACCAGCAAAAACACCTGAAGTGAGCAATATTCTCTCTTCATTCTCTTGAGGATCCACGCCATGATTATGTTGAAAATGACGAATCCTCCAGCGGACAAGTTGAGTTTGTACATGTACGGGCAGTACTGACCAAGTGTTGCTAGAAATAGCACATATGAGATTAAAAGTCCGAATTCGATAGATTTGACGACATAGAAATTGTAGACTTGAATCTGAAAACAAGGTCCTAAAATGTATGTATTCAACTTACACTACACCTTTTTTAGAGCTGCGGCGTTGGTCTCCTGCTCCATAGCCGCTCTCAATGTTTCCATTGTTTTGAACAAACCTAGAGATTGACGAAAAATGTATGTGTGCGGGGCAAGCAAATGTGAAACAGAGAATTCTCGGGGAGCGTCGTCCTGACTACGTGAGTGAAATTGATACACTCCCCAGGAGCGCACAATTTGGCGGACGGAGACTGGAGCAGATTGGTTTGGTCCTTTTTCTCTCGGGGATGTTAATAACACCCTTCGAATGTTTCCCTGGGAACGAGCAACAAAAGACGAGAGTTTGTGAAAGCTACAAATGGAAGAGGTGCTGAAGGGACCACAAAATAATGAAAGGTTGTGCGATCATAACGTCTAATTTGATATGCCGAGGAGTAATGAAGCTCAGTGTGGGCGATGTGAAAACGAACAAAACAAAACGACCGGGAAAAGACCTAGGGGAAATTCTTTTACATTTGTATTTCGTTTTTTTTCATAGGCGGATACATTTTTAGTAGACCACACTATACAATTCTTGACTTCGTCTAGCACTTTGCTGAACTCTGATTCAAAATAAGCATCTCAACTATTGATTTTCAGAAAAAGGCAAAGAAACTGAAATGAATCTTCAAAACTGGTTCAATAAATAATAAGTGAAACACTTCATCAATTGCGCAAACATAGACAAAACGCGTAGACTCATTGAATATCTCAATCAATATAAATTACTAGAAAAGTTTTCATTGAAACGTTGGATCGGGTGAAAAATTGGTGTGAAATCGAAACTTTTTCTTGAATTTACACAAAAAAGGTTAATAGACAAAGAATACACTCAATTAAGATGAATCTCAAAACAGGGATGATTAATAAAAAACCTGTTTTCAGAAAGAAAGTATAGTCCAAGCAATATTAACAGCTTGGAATGAGGCCTGCTTAATTAGACAATCTGCGTAGCTCTCTGAGGAGTACAAAGGGAAACGATGTTTGATATTTCTCTCTTCTCAGGTTTGAAGGTGCTCAATGAGAAACGTTTGATCTCCACTGAAAATTTGGGAAAATTAGGATATACATTTCCGAAAAAATCAAGCCTACCCAATAAATTACCACCAAGTACCAATTGTGCTGTCATTCCAACGAGCATCTTTGTTAAAAAAGCATCACCACCAAAAAGTTCGACACATCCATGTATTTCTTCACTGCAATTCTCGCGAGGGTCTGTGACAATTACCAAGAAAAATGGGATTGTTAAGAAGCAATAGAACTTCCAAATAATGTGAAAGTACTGAAGTTGATTGTTTCATATTTCGTCACTGAGTTTAATTTACCATGAAAGAAACAGTAATCCATCGAAATTTTTTTGCCACAATTTTAATGACATTGCAGTTGTTCAATAAACTTAACATCAACATGATAACCATTTGATTTTGCATAAATTCGTAGTTAGGCGGAATGAAATCTCCGACAATTATAACAACAAACATTGTGATTATTGATTCAAGCATGTAGGTTCCAAGCAATGGTAGGTCATCATATCCGAAGAACTGCAATAAAAAAGTTGTAGAAATGACAGCAATTGTAAGAACTCAACGTTTCCACAAAGTTGGCCGTCTGACTTCTCTTCGTTCATTTCATCTCCGTCTAATTCGGTTTCCACTGATACAGTCTGAAGAGAAAATATCAAAATTTAAATTAAAACAATTTCGGATTCAAAAAGGATTTTAACTCACTGTCTGATAAACCTGATATGTAGCTTCAATCTGGCCGATTGGCTGAATCTTATCTTTTCCTTTGAATTCTGAGTCGGATTTGATAAGAATGTAGAATCTCACATATTCTACTGTAATTAATTTTTTAAGGAACCTTTGAAGGTAAATGGACCTTACCAAACAGATGAATGGAAAAGAATCCTTGAGATAGCAGGCCAGCAAATATTTTGGTTAACGAAACGCCATCAGTAAAACTTGGGAAACACATGTTGGTTATTCCGTTGCAGTATTCCAAGGGCATTGATACAATCGTCATGAAAATTGGAAATGTAACGAAGCAATAAATTTTCCAGAGCATTTGAATTATCTGAATTTTTTATAACTGTAACCCGAAAAGTGAAGAACGGTACCGAAATTATTATCCGCATAGATTGAGGTCCTTTATAGATAGTATTGACGGTCAGAATTTGCAGGAAACAATCAATAAGAGCAAGTGTAAACTGATATTTCATTAACTGGCAAGAACTCGGGGAAACTATGCAGAGAAATGCGAAGAAAATGATTCCAGTTGTGAATTCAAACGCGTAGCTGAGATACCAGAAACAACGATCAAATTTGGAAAACTGTAAGAAATAGGGGAGGCTAAGACTAGATATCAGTACTTTACCTGAATACCACCTTCGTTGTTGGTCTTTACTTCGACGGGGTTGGTCGCGTCCAGATCTCCCATTTTCTAGAAGAAATAATTTAGTGGGAGCATTTGAAACAAAAATAGAATTTCGGTTAAACGAAAAAGAGTTGGAACAAAAAAAACGATGAACCACGCCTACTGGAACATTATCTGGATTGCCTTCGTAATCTCAATGAGAGCACCGCAGTGAAACAAAATTAAGAATTCAATTCCTCCATTGAAGCACATTCCAAAACAGGAAAAATGTTTCACTGCTCGTAGTTTCAGAAAGATTGATTCTGAACATAGTAGGCGGAAAAAGAACAACGAATGCGCTGCTCTAAGTTCCTCCAACAACAAGGAGTTACACCCAGAACGACGTTGGAGGAGGAATCACGAGGCTCGAAGTGACTGCCCACTTAAAAAAAATAATTAGCTGCAATAAGCGGTTCTCCCGAGGCAGAGTGACAGAATCTATTATTACCTTGAGCGACAAAGAGAAAGAAGAACATATATCATGTTTTATGAATATCAAAACTGTTTCAAAAACACTGCTTGGTGGCCCACGCAAATGAGGAACACCAGTTCACTTTCGAACTTCAGTAATAATGCCAATTGTGTTAATTTGGGCATTTGAAAGGAAATTACACTGAACAGATCAATCGCTTTTTCCATAAGTCAAGTTAAACATCGTTTCTTGTAATCTAGAAAAAATAGCATCTGAAATTTCAAAAAAAAATATCTGAGCTATTCAGAGAAAGAAAAAACTGCTAGTTTCTTTTCAGAGCAATTAATTCATTTTCCCATTTTCAGAAAAAACACTGACTACAATAAAAATACAATACAAAGCAGATTGCCATTCTAACACCGGATAAAAATGGAAATCAATAAAAGAACATCAATTATTCTATTATGACAGATAGAATAAGTTAGATGGGAAGTTGTTTCAGAGCCAGCTGCATTTTTACTTGGTGACTTGGTGAAGAGCGTGAGCGAGGTAGGCGACGTTGTTCGATGAGATTCCAGCAACCGAGATACGTCCGTCCTTGGTCAGATAGACCGAGTGCTCCTTGATCAGCTTCTCAACTTGTTGTGGGTTGATTCCGGTGAAGCAGAACATTCCAATTTGGTTGGTGATGTGCTCCCAGTTGCGAGTGGATCCCTCCTTGGCGAGCAAGTCCTTCAGTTGAGTTCTCATGGTGATGATACGGTCGGCCATGAGCTTGACGTCTCCGAGCCATTGCTTGTTGAGGGCTGGGTCGGCAAGAATTCGAGAAGCAATGCGAGCTCCGTGGACTGGTGGGTTAGAGTAGAGTGGACGGATGAGGATCTTGACTTGGGAAGCTACACGAGCGGCCTCGTCGGCGTCAGCGCATACAACGGAGAAGGCTCCGACACGTTCACCTGAAATAATGAAATTTGATTTAATTTATCATCAATTCTGTTTCCTACACTCTGCGTAATATTTTGATGCGTAACTGTTTTTATCCCGTTTAGGCTTTCATTTGCTCTCATTTTCACTGAATATACGTATTGAAAAAGCAATTACGCTCAAAAATTACTTTTTCTCTTATTTTTTTTGTTCCAGCTAACGCTTTGTTCGTAGATTTCTGATTTTAGTACTTATGAGATAGCTGACGGCGACCTAGCGGCTCTAGTGTGTTTTTGTTTTGCTTTCTGACCTTATTGACCCGATAGCGAGCGACCATGGCCTAGGATGCCAGTGGCCTAGGATGCCAGTAGCCTAAGTCAACAGCGACAGCGGCGGCGATATTCACAGCTTTCATTTCAGTCCATCATTCAATAATTTCAGTTACTCACCATAAAGTCCCATGTTCTTGGCGAAGGATTGAGCGAGAACGATGTTGTGTCCTTGCTCGAGGAAGTATCTGACGGCGAAGGCATCATTGTCAACGTCTCCAGAAGCGAATCCTTGGTAAGCCATGTCGAAGAAGACAAACAAATTGCGCTTCTTGACAATGTCGGAGATCTTCTTCCATTGCTCACGGGATGGGTCGACTCCGGTTGGGTTGTGAGCACAAGCGTGGAGAAGGATGACGGATCCTTCTGGGATTTGAGCAATGTCGGCGAGAGCTCCAGCCTCGTCGAATCCGCAGGTCGACTTGTCGTAATAACGGTACTGCTTAACATCCATTCCAGCGAACTTGAACACTGGGACATGGTTTCCCCAGGTTGGTGTTGGTTGGTAGATGACCTTGGTCTTGGAGTACTTAGACAAAAATTCGGATCCGATTCTCAAAGCTCCAGTTCCAGAAATACTTTGGGTGGTAAAGATTCTCTTGTCCGTGATGACGGAAGAGTTCTCTCCGAGAGCAAGTTTGGCAGAGAGCTTGGTGAACTCCGGGAGTCCTAATAACAAAACTTTTTATGAAAGAGAAGATTTATCGAAAAACTTACCAACAATTCCAGCGTATTCCTTGTCAAGGTTTGCGGCGATGACTTGACGCTCGGCTTCCTTGACCGATGGAAGAACAAATGGTTTTCCTTGATCGTCGCGGTAAGCTCCGACTCCGAGGTTGATCTTCTTTGGATTTTTGTCAGCCTTGAAGGCCTCGGTGACTCCGAGAATGGCATCTGGAGGTCCCATCTCGACGTGCGACCACCATGACTTTCCGCGGACAGCGGTGGAAAACAGCTTCTTGGAAACGCTCATTGTTGCTTGGATGAAAGATTACCTGAAAATTTGAAAAATTGGATTCGCTGTACAAGATATGGAGAACAAAATAAACAAGATGGTCTCAAAAAAGGAGGCGTGGACGTCACGTTCTGAAGTGAGTGAAGCAACGAAACATTGATAATTTGGGTTGACTAGAGTACGTACAACTCTTGTTTTTTTCGGAAATTCTGTGAAAAGGAAACGTGTGTTATCACTATCTAGGAATGTTCAATGGTCGGCAGTGGGCTGATCGCAAGAACCTTTTACTGGTAACAAATGTATACCATCTTGGCTGCCATAATAGTGATGAACTACTAGAGTGAGGCCAACAACTACGCTAGAAAACCCATTGATAAGAGTAATATTATCTTCACGACGGACACAAATACACAAGAGTAGAAAACAAAATGGACGGATTGCACCGCCTGTGAGCAGCAGTGGGCAGACGACGCATCTCTTCTTCATCGCATCTTCCTTGGGCCCCAAAAACGAAAGGATGCAAGAAGAGTAGGCCGCGAAGACGTGAGAGTGTGTAAGGAGAAGAGACCTAGTCAGAACGAGGAAAATACTCGGGCGGTCGCAGCCAACGTGAGAAACATGCGGTTCAATCCACTGGCAAGTTTTTCGTTTACTTCCCTCCCGACCGAGTGGTAAACAGTAAGTAAACTGTGTTCGGAAAGCGCTTCAGTACTTTGCTCAGTGAAAGAAAAAGTGAAACAAAAAAGGAGTGGAACGAAAAGCAGAACGAGTCGCATTAAATACTACATTAACTGTTGATTTCTCGAAACAAATCCTGAGAAATCAACGGGGCAGTCAAGTCAACAGACATAGAGAAAAAAAGAGAATACCTGGGTCAAAAGGAAAGAGAAAAAAGCGACCACTCAAGAGGAGAATACAACTAATGAATGAATGATGGGAGTGGACCATTGGAACATCGCTCGAGAACGTTCTACGCTGTGTGTGTGGGCGCGCGCGGTGGTAGAACAAAACGTAGGTCAACGGTGCTCCTGGGAAAGAGAGTAGGTTTAGGCTGGGTATAATTAGGGGACAGCTGATCAGTATGGAAAAGGAGTGTTATAATAAATTCGCTTCAGATAGTTTTCCACGAAAAAGTTTGTTGTTTTTGCACAAAAATACTTCCCAATTGAGAACGAAAAAATAAATCGAAATTCAAATCTTGAAAATAAAATTTCAGAATTTTAACGATAGCCGTGGGATATAAAATCAGCCCAAATCCCTACTTTGGGAAAAAAACTTATTTTTCGATGCGGTTTGCTCTGTTTAGTAATTTTTAGATTATTTTTTGTGTAAATTTTGATGACGTATTTCAATGAAACTGAATTTCAGTGAAATTACAGAACAAATGAAAAAGAAAATGCGCTGTAAAACAAAAATTTAAGAAATTAGAAATAGTGAACACTTGAAGGGATCGAGGTATAATTTAAAAAAAAACATAAATAAATAAAACCGGAATTTTCTCATTTTTTCCCAGAATTCAAATTAAATAATTATTGTGTTCCGTAAAAAATCCATTTGTTGAAAACTAGCACATAAAACAGTTAACATAAATTACGAAGTTTTGCCTATTTTTTCGAGCCAATTGTCTTTTTCTTACCCTTTCTTCTGAAAATTCTCACCAATGAAAACATATTCAGTTAATTGTTCCAAGAAACAATACGGAACAATTTTTAGTATTTTCAAGCCAAAAAACTATGCTCAATTCGCTTGTGTTTCCTAAAAATTTCAAAAACTGGAAAATGTGGTTTTATCAATTGTTGCCTCGTTAACAGTGTTTACTTCCTGCACCGGTATTAAAAGTAGAGTACAATTTGATAACACTTTTCAATACACGTCATTATTCCAAAAATGAACATTCTTACTAGAATTTTTTTAGTTATCTCTGAGAAACGTTTTCTCAATTCCACCCTGGAAACTTGCACGTGCGATTCATGTGAACTTGTATCTCTATACTTTTGTTAACATTTGCCTTCCTCTTTTTTCAAAAAGTTTTTTGCCTCGTCCGGATAAATGTGATACAAAATTCAGCTTCTAGAATAGACAATTCGATTTCACGGATCCAGAATAAAGACTATTGTTCTTTTTCTCGGAGGAAATTTTCATATCTCGGGATCTATACCGGCATAGAACAGGATTTATCGGTCGGGATGCGATGAGATTTCTAGGACGCGATATGGAGGATGTCAAGGCTAAAAAGGTTGTCTTCATCGACAACATTCTCTCATTCAACCGCGTTTGTAAGAACGATGTCTGTTCCAACACCAGGAAAACGTTTCCAACTTGAGAAGGAAGTCGTCGCGGCTATTCCAGATCTTCTTGTCATCAAGCCAAAGGTAAATTTTCTAGCTTTTTTTCAACTTTCGGTATCACATTTCAGGTGTTCCCAGACGAGCGTGGATTCTTCTCCGAGAGTTACAACAAAACCGAGTGGGCTGAAAAGATTGGTTACACCGAGGATCTTCAACAGGTACACATAGGAAGTCAGATAAAAGTTCTAAAAACTAAATGTTGCAGGATAATCACTCCTTCTCCCATTACGGTGTTCTCCGTGGTCTCCACACTCAACCACACATGGGAAAATTAGTTACTGTGGTAGGTTTTAGAAAATATGACTAATGTTCATAGTTTTTCAACTAGTGAAACTAGAGAAAATACTAAGTTTTTGGTTTACAGGTTAGCGGAGAAATCTTCGATGTGGCTGTTGACATCCGCAAGGACAGCCCAACCTACGGAAAGTGGCATGGAGTGATTTTGAATGGAGATAACAAGCACGCCTTCTGGATTCCAGCTGGATTCCTTCACGGATTCCAAGTGCTTAGCAAGGAAGGAGCTCATGTCACCTACAAGTGCTCCGCTGTCTATGACCCAAAGACTGAATTTGGTAAGTTTGGGAGAAAAGAGGACAGGATATAAATCTAAAAGTTTCAGGAATCAACCCATTCGACGAGGATATCAATGTGGACTGGCCAATCAAAGACAAAGCTTCCGTGATTGTTTCGGAACGCGACACCCAGCATGCCTCTTTCAAATCTCTCTAATTACTTTGCTCAACCTCGATTTTTCTAATAATACTGTGATAGCAAAAATCGAGTGAATAAAATAATAATGAGATTATCAAGTCTACTATTTCTATTTCAATTATCAAAAAAAAGGTAGGCTATACTGAAAATTTGTATCCTTCTGTTATATAGTACGGGTCATTAATACATACAAAAATGTGTTTTTTCAAAGTTAAGTTTGATCATTCTAGGAGTTTATCTGTCCAGTTTCCAATTAATTTGAAATTTTTCGAGGCTGTAAAACAATGTTAGATTGAAAATTTGCATTCACCGAATGTTTTGGGAGTTCTCAGTTTTTCAACTATTTGTTGTTTTCTGAGAAAAACCGTTTCTCACGTTTTCAATATAGACGGGCCAAACTTGATAGCCGAGCTGCAGACTTGTGATAATGGTCAAAATGAGGACAAATCAACAAAAAAAACTCCGTTTTCGTATATTTTATTGATTGACACTGTATGCGAGAAGCTTACTGAATTAGGCTCTTTCCGAAATCCCAAAATTTCAAATCGGAAGATACCGTAAAAACTTTAATAGGAGGCCATAAAACCGGTGAACTTTGAGCTCAATTATCACGATTCCTGTAAAAGATAACAAAAATTTGTTAACTTATGAAATATTGGCGATATTATGTTCGTTATATATAACACGCTACATGCGTCTGTTGGTTCCAATGTCAGACTGTCAACTTTTGAAAACCTTGACATTAAAATAGATTTACATGACCTTTTAAGAAAAAGTGAGGGGCGGAGCGACGAACCAGTAAAAAAAAACTAGACTAAATCGCGCCGAAGGCGCACCAGCTAGCTGGTTTTAAAAAAATTAATTAGTTGACCTTTTTTTCATATCTTTCACAGGAATCAAAATAATTGAGCTCGAAGACGACTTCACTGATTCCAAAATTTTCGAATTTTGTAAAACTCATTTGATATCGGTCCCACTTTTTTTGCAAACCATTGGTCTGCCAAGGTGTATGAAACTTCCTCAATTCCAACTTTTTTTTCCAATCCCCACCTGTCTCCATAAATGTGTATTTTACTCACGCGCAGGCAAACACTATTCTGAAAAGCAAACTGAGGTTCGTACCTCCATCGGCGTTTTCAGGACAAATTTGGGTTTCAATTACCGTGTTAGTTTAGGAAAAAACCCACCACAGGGAGGGAAAACTGACTTCACCCCCCTTCCCCTCTCGAGAGGATTAAAATCGCTTTTCACTCGTTTTTTTATTATCTTCTTTCGATTACGATTTGAATTGCGTTGGTGGTGGGCAAATTATTATTCAGAATTTCGAATCGGAGTGCAGAGGTTGAGATTGATTTATGGTGCTTTTGAAAAAAAATTATGGCAAAACGAATGGAATCGGAACGGAAAGAGAACGGAAAAAGTCAATTTTCCCTTCTACTTCGAGAACAAAGCACACTGATTTTCCAGCATGTACCCAATTCAGTTTCCAATTCAGTTACCGGTTTAAAAATTCATCCAGTGGAAATATTTCAAAACCGTTTATGACAACAGAAAATAATATGACACATGTTCACAATGAAAAAATAACTTCTGTAGGCGTTGTGTCCCTATTGTCACCGTCGTTTAGGAATTTTTCAAAGAAACCATAAGGAACGAGAAAAAAAATTAGTTCGTAAAAGAAGCCGGTTTTGAAATATTTGAAGTGTCGAAACTCAATTTCGAAACTATTAGAAGAGGTCCAGAGAAGGGCGTATTCCTTGTTATCGTTCTCTATCTCTTTTTCTGGCGGTTAGTCTCGTCGTTCCTACACAGTGATTAAATATCACATTGATCATCATCCAAGGGAGACCGACGACGACAACTGGGGCGGATCGAGAAAAAAAAGAAAATGGAACTGCCTTTTGCCTCTCTCTCAATTGGTTCTGACTCATCTGAAATAGGGTAACTTTGACCGGCCAACGCCCTTCTCTTTTGCTGGGAGGAATGGGTATATAACACACCGCCGGTGCCCTCATACCATATTCAGAGCTCATATTGGTTTTGACTTTAGAAATTCTTACATTCCTATCGGGATAGTTTCGAAATTACAGTTCTGAATAGGAAACTTTCCTCCTCTCTTGTTTTTTTCCTTCCTCTAATTACACAGATGTCTTCTTCTTCTCCGTCTTCTGTTCCAACTCCCAAATTTTCCGGCAGTAATGTTTGATTATTTCGTCTCCTTTTTTCCTTTTTCCCCCATTCCATCCCCAATACGACCTCAGGTCCCTCTACCAAAATAACAGTGTGTTGACAGAGAAACACACAGTCAACATTGGCAGCAAAAACCCCCACCGATTTCGATTTCGCGCCCCCCCCCCCCCCCCTTATTTCTTCTAACTCTGTTCTTCTCTTCACGTGGTATTTACCAAAAAAAGAGTAGGGGTTGGAAGATTCGAGAAAAAAAAAGGTAAGATGGGGGTTAAAACCACGCCCAAACTTTTCCCTCTCGACCCTATTCTTTCCATGCAAGGAGGCACATATAAATGCTTTTGAGATATGAGTGTTCCTGTTTTTGAATTTGAGTTATTTATTAGTATTTTATTAGTTTATCAGTCTTGAGTTTTTTGGAAGCCATTCTCTTTAAGGTACATTTAGAGTGCAATTATTCATATCTATATGTTGGTGTTGCTTTGTCTCGTTTTAATTTTTTTTTTCTTACGAAATCCACTCAATGATTTGTATAATTTTTCAGTCTTCAAAAAACAAAGCTCAACCACTAAACTAAAAATGACATTGGCTACCCGTCATGCCGACTTCACCCGTCATGACAGTTTCTGGAAGGACAACGACATGTGGCTCGACGAGTTCCGAGACTGGCCAATGGATTGGCCAAAGCCAAGAGACTTCTTCAACCGTGTATGTCGTCGGGTTCATCTAGGCTTATAATTTTCCGATTGTTGAAAATGATGAGGGCATGAGGAGGGGTGGGCTATTCATCCGCGACCTAACCGAATCTCCCCTGCACGCTCTCTGCGTTCCGGCTACTATTATATTATTTCCTGCCAGGCGTTTTACTGTTCGAATCCGGTCGTCAACCGACGGCCTACTTGACAGTCCTACTCGAATTTACGTACATATACATCTATTAGAAGTGAAAGAGAGAAAGAGACCCAAGCCAAAGTTTCATCTCTTCTTTATATTCGATGCCAATCCCTCTTCCTTTTCCCATTTTTAGAGCATCATCAATCTGTACAAATATAATGTTTTTTTTTTGGCTCGGCTCGTTTCAAAATGTGCTTTTTTTCAAAAAATAAAATCGAAATCAGCCGATGATTCAGAATGATTCATATTTCCTTTTTTACAGTTTTCCCGTGACGTGGATAGCTGGTGGAAGGATTGGCCAACCGATTGGCCTCGCATGGACGCGGTCATGCCAAGAGTAATACCTAGAATACAACAAAGGAATAAATAAATACAAGGAATAATAATTTCAGTTCTCTACCCAACTCGACCGTGTGGATCGTAACTGGAGAACCGATCCATATTGGATGAATCTCTATCCAAGATGGGCAGAGCCAATTTTCAAGGAGGGAATCGATGTGAACTCAAATGTGGTTAATGACGAACGCAAGTTTGCCGTTGACATGGATTGTTATCAATTCCGTCCTGAAGAGATTCAAGTGAAAACTTTGGATGACACACTGATGATTGAGGGGAAGCACGAGGATATCCGTGATCGGGATAACTTCACCAAGATGTACTTTGTCCGAAAGTACCAACTTCCAAGAGATGTTGACTACAACTCTATCCAAAGCAGCATTGATGCTAAAGGACGTCTTCAAGTTGAAGCCAGCAAGTTCAATAACATGGCCATCAATGGTCGTGAGCGTCTGATCCCAATTGAGGGAGCTGGAAGAGCATCTCCGAGATATGACAGTGGAACTCTCCGTTCCCAGGGTGGGCCAAATTCTCCAATCCATGTGCAAACCGAACAAGATGGGAGAAGCCACTCGAGCCGTAGTGGATCCCGCTTGAATGATAGCCCAGGATCTAGAGATGTTTACTCGTCTCATTCTTATAGGTAGGTACTTTTCAGTCCTTTCCATTTAATTACGTTCAAAAATTTTTCAGCTATCATCGTAGTGATTCTCGCAATCGTCTTTCTCCACATGATGTAAACACCACTAGAACCGACAACAATCGCACCTATAGTCCAGTTGCTTCTCGTGTTACCACCAGTGGTAAGAACTTTCAAAAATCCGCATTCAAAGTCTAGTTAGATTCCAAAGACACTGCTTCTTTGACGTATTCTTCTATGTCACATTTTCTCTCTTTCTTTTCTATCTGTGTAGATCCTCTAATTACCTTCAGAGCGGACAGTAACACCGGAACAGCGGTCGCCGGGTCGAAAAGCGTTCGAAACGATTCGAAACAATTTCGAGCAAGGTCGTTTCCCCAACACAAAAACCGAATTTTCTCAATTTTCTGTTTACACACAAATCACTCTAATTACTCTAATTACTCTTTTTCCCCACTTCCTTCCTCATTATCACTATTAGCGTAAAACTGAAATTCCAAACTGATCACACCGAGTACTTTGATTTTTTCATCTGTCAGTCCACAAATAACCTTCAAAACTACTTTAACATGTTGCGCCTACCCAAAACACCAAATTGAGTTTTCATAGATTTTCTGTGGAGAGATCTCAGTGAAATACATTTTTTCAGGCGCCTACAACACCGCTGGAAATGCCAATCTTCATGAAGAGCGATCAAGCTCTCGTGCTCAATCTCACCGCTCAGAGAGTCGCAATGGAGGTATAAAGATTTTTAAATAGATCTTAAAAACACATTTTTTGCAGGATACCGCGTCGAGTCTCCAGTCAGCACTACCACTGGAATCCTTCGCAACGGAAACTCCGACTCTCCAAACTCGACTCAACGCGAGTACCGCTCCATTCAAATTCTCCGCAAAACGTATTAAATCATTTAATAATCCATGCTTTTATCGATACCCGTTCTCCTTCACAACACTTCACACAATTCTGCCTACAGCTTTTGAAACTCAACAGTACATTTTATGATGTTTCCCAAACAATTCGCTTCTTTTTGCATTCGTGCTTTTTCTTCTTCTGTACATCTTCTTCCCTATACATAAACATTTATGCTTTTTTGTTTACTAATTTGATAGTACGATTTTGATGGAAAAAAGATCATGGTTCTGATCTCAGACCATGTAGGCGGAAACAATAAAGAGAAAAATGCGAGAAAAAGAGGGGAGATGGATTCAAAACATAATCATTTTTCATCTTCATATTGCATTTCATTCGTCGATCATATTTTCGACCATGTCTCGCCATCATCCACCTCTGGTAACCAAAAAGGAGATTATCTATCGGAGAAGCTTCATCGATGATGTAAGTTAACATTATTATGCTAATGAAGAGCGGCTAAATAGATACCGGTTCTTGGTAGTTTTTATTATATACGGGGTGAAATTTCTTTGACTTTAACGTATAGGTTTCTGACTTCTGATTCTAAAAAAGCCGCTAAGATAAACAATTAGACATCAAGACTACTTGCAACAACATCGCTTACAGCAACGGCGAATAAGATAGACAAAAACGTCGTTTTCAGTTGCATTTTGCCTATTTTGATCATTTTCAGGAGTCTGAAACTCACTTGTCAAATTTCCGGTCACTCTAGAAATGTTAGAGGGTGTAAAATAGTAGATTTAGAAAATTTGCATTCACAGAATTTTTTGGCAGTTAATACTTTCTTAGCTATTTCCCGATTTCTGAAAAACGCCTGTTTTTTCACATTTTCAGAACAAAAACGAGCCAAAAACTGGTGTCATTCAAAAATCGGAAAATAGCTGAAGATTTTCAATTTCAGCACAATGACCGCTTTGAAAATGTGATGAGAAACCCAACTGCTTATCCACCAAGGGATCCAAAACCCGAACGTCCCCAAAATGTAACTGTAAGCCACAACTATCACGCTGATTTTGAATCAGAGGTAGGATAAACATCAAACACCTAGTTCCGAACTACAATAATTCAGTTCCAACTCTCAAAAATCAACAAAAAGTTGGACAGTATAATCGGAATTCTTCGCAGTCCATCGACCAAGGTATGCGCACAAACACAGCACCTTCCCTATTGTTTTGCTCATTGTTCTGCTTTTTTCTAAAGCGTCAATGCTTACTTTTCAGCGAAATGCTGAAGAGCGTGTCGTTGTTGACGCCGGACGTCAAGAGCAAACTCGTCAATACAAGGATATTTGCGAACGGCTTGACAAGTTGGAGACAGAGTTGACTGTGAGCAGTTTTTTTGTTCACACTTACTAGTAGGGAATAATTCTGCGATTCAGGGAAGAACTCCTTATGCTCCACTTCAAAACGAAATTTACGCTTTGACAAACAAAGTGCAAGAGTTGGCTCGAATTCAAGAAGACTTGAAAGCCAAACTGGTTGCAAGCAACATTCAGGGAGATGATATTGACGAGTTGTTGGTAGGATATCTGTGAAAAATGGGGAAAATTGAGATTAATTTGTTGTAGAAGGTTATCAATGAAACGAGACGGGATATGGAGGAGAAAATTGGAAACATCAAACAGCTCAGCGATGGGAATTACATCCATTTGGAAGACAAGGTTTGGAAAAAATCATAAAATAAAATTTGAAAGAACATTTTTAGCTTGATGGATATCTGCGCAACCAGCATGGTATACAACTACAAGTTGATCATCTCATGCATCTTCTCACTCATAGCTCTCGCCCAGCATCTGCAATTGGTTCGAGACCAGCATCCGCTGTGGAGAAAATTTGGTAGTAAAATGAACTATGAATTTCATAACTGTTGATTTCCAGTAGTGTGTCCCGCTCATCATCAAAAAGTTCAAACTTGAAAGCTAATCTTGTCATGCCAACTCGTCGTTCACCACCTCCAAAAACCCCAAGTGAGGTCAGCTACACATCGACTCGCCCCCGGACTGAACGTTCAGCGTCCCATAAATCGGAGAGCACCGTCACCTCGTCCAATACTATCACCACTTTGGATAGCTCCAAGAAGAGCTCTCGTCCGGTTGATGCACCACAGAAGCCACCTCGAAAGCCATCAATTGAAGTGTTGGAGAAAAGCAAAAGCATTGAGACATTGAGTAAGTGAAATATTCTATTCATAATCCTGAATTCCGAAATGTGAGTCTCTTTTTAGATGCCATCCATGCTGCTCAACAACTGGAAGTTGAGTCCTCTTCTTCTGGAAGTTACATTGCTCCTCTGAAAATCGACGAACGCAGAAACTCGCAACCAGCTAATGTTTTTCTCAACCAAAAATTTTAGCCGATGGGAACTGATTCTAATTGCTGCTTTCTTGTTTTTATTCATGCTATTTCTGTTCGGTGCTTTGGGGCAGCGACTTATCTGACTATATCTGGCTTGTGATGTAATTTTATTTTGATATTTTTCTATGTTTTCGTCACCACTGTTGACACGCTCTGAATTATATGCATGAATTGTCATCATGGCAAACATCTACCGTAAGATTGAAGATATTTCCTCATTAGAGATTTTAATTAAAGTTGGCGAGAAACGTTTCGAGGAAGGTGAACTATGCTCACAAAATTAAATTTTTTCACCATATTGTGGTGGCTGGGTGCAACCAAAATGACAAAGAGGCGGTGCAAACACATAAAGGTCATCATTTGAGAAAACTCTTTGTGGGGTGAAAAAAACTCATTCTTTATTCTCGAAGAAGATGCCATCAACATCTCATTCTGCGGTTTGTCACCACTCGGGACTTCAGCAAATAGTCAAGGGCACAATGTTGACGGGTGAGTTACAAAAAATGATTTTGACTAGATTCTCGACGATGACAATAATTCCTCCACATTTCAAAATGTCATGCAATCCTCGAGAAGTGTTGAATTTCATGATCTTACGGGTCGTATATTTTTGAAAAGCGCATGTTCCTTATTCTTCGAAATAGCTATTAGTATGGATTCATCATTCAGTCGGAATAGTTCTAGAACACAACGTGAGTAAAATTTTATGGTTGGAATATAGGAGGAAATTCGAGAATGGGTCCTCAATATAGCTGCTCCACTTCAAACATTTTCCCGGGTCTGAGAGCTTTCCTATGTTGCTGTTTTTCTCATGACTGAATTTTGGGCATTCACATTGGTCAGAAACTAAATTACTATCAGACTTTTGGCTCTATTTTGATCATAATGAAATGTAGGTGGAATAATTTGATATCGAGTCTTTCTGGAATAATTATAGTCTGCAGGTTTTTACTCTCAAAGATTCCCAAACATTTCTTTTAAAGAGGAAATGAGTTTAAGAGATTTTTTGCAAACTTTTCAATTAAACCTGTTTTCATCTATTCTTTAATTGAGTTTCAACGTCACAGTACTGCAAAAATAAACCACCTGCTTTGGCCTTTATCTATCAAAAATCTGTGCTCCGAAACGAAAAACAATCACGAGTATTTAATTGAAAAAGTTGGGCGGCGGCACCGTAGCAGCCTTCTCCATATTTCCAGTCATCATTCCACTCGTGCCATGTGGTGCCGGTTACTAACACGTAATTTGCAACTACCTTTGGTCGGAAAATTTAATAAATCCTTGGACTCGGTGAAGTCAGGTACTCTTTTTCTTGACATTTTCTTGACACCCGAAACCAAACCAAAATTTGTTCATTCGAAAAATTTCGGTCGCTCTACTTTGATGACAAAACTTTTTTCCTTTTTTGTTTCCCACCGTACTCGACCATCCACTTCTATCTAGACGGCCAAATAAGCCGCAATTAAAATCTCAGAATGTTTCGAAATTTTCGAAACTTCGAGTTTCACCTCATCGTAAGATTATGAAAACAACACGCCCACATAGAGTCACAAGATTCTGAGTTGTTATTAGTATTCTCGAGAAAGTCACATCTCCATACCGCTTCACTGATTCTGTATCTAACAAGATTTTTGATATAAAAATGTTGAAGTCACCAAAGATTTTAGCCAAGAAGACGATGATCGCCAAGATCTTGTCGAGCCGCAACAAATGGGCTATCTGCGATCGTACTCTCTACCCAATCTACTATCTTCTTCTCATTCTTGGCTTGAATCAGTCAATCCGTCCAAACAATTCTTTGCTCTTCCGCATCTACAGTTGGCTTGTGTTTTGCCTTTTGGTGAGTCTAGGGAGTGAACGGAAATTAAAATGGAAATGGTAGTGTCTCTTATTTTCTTCTTTCTAGCTCTTTACCACCGTCCGTAAATTTAATCAAATTGGTGTCCGTCCAAATGGAACTCGTGAAACCATGCAAGAGTTTTTCGCCAACCCACGATCGTTGATCACACTTTGCAATGCATTGATAATGATGAGGTGACAGAGACAGGGGAACATTTTTTATAGAAATAAATGAATGTTTAGTGGACTTCTTGCATCTCTCCAGCTTTACACCCTCGGAGCAAAGAGACTCAAGCCGTTGAAGGTTGAAAAATTTTAGATTAGGGGAGAGAACCGTTTGGATTTCAGATTTTATGTCAATTTTCGTTGAATGTCCGTTCGAAGGAAGCTGAACGCCGCCAATTCATCATTAACACTTTTCTGGCAGTGCTCAGTGGTGTTTTGGCTCTCACTATGGCTGCTACCTATGCTTGTAAGTTCGATCATCATTTCAGGAAATCTGAAATTTACTCAACCATTGCTTTTTTAGTGTCAAAATGGGGTTATATTTTGTACATTGTCGGAACTCCTAATCTGGATACTGAAACCATTTTCTGTGTTCTCTTGGACTCTTACGCGGTAATTATTCCAGACCCCCTTATCCTTGCTACATTTGAAATTCAGCTTTTCGTATCCCGTGCCGCAATTTCTGCTCTTGCCATACTGTTCTACCAACACTGTTCCGTTATTCGCCGTTCCATCAAACACCTCATCAATGAAATGGTTCCAGCCGAGCAAGATGAATGTCCATTACCAGATGCCTCTCTCCAAAAGATTCACGATTGCCAAATCAGCTACCAACGCATCTTCAATGGAAAAGCCGTTATTGAGGAGTACTACTCTTTCGTTTTGTTCTACTCGTATGGTGTCTGCATTCCAATCTTCTGTTTCTTGATGTTTGTTGTGATGAGCTCCCAATCGGTTAGTCGGCTCTACAGTTAGTTTCAGAAAATTGTTGCAGAATTTTCAGATTTGCTGGTCAGAGGTTGTTTCAATCGTCATCTGGATCATCAACGCTATTCTTGTCCTCCTTCTTTTCAGTCTTCCAGCGTTCATGATTCATGAAGATGTTAGTGACTAGGAGGATTATGATCAAGATTGAAATCACAATTTCCAGGGTGATCGTCTTGTTGCTTCCTCGTTCCGCATGTACCACGAAACTTTCCATGAGGAGCGAGACTTGACTGTTCTCTCACAAATGACATTCTTCACATTCCAAATCCACTCGACCAAACTCACTCTCTCCGCTTGCAACTATTTCTACATGGATCGCTCGATTCTTCTCTCGGTAATCACTAACCGAATTTCATGGTTTATTCTGTTTTTCTGTTTCAGCTCTTCTCTGCAATTCTCACCTACTTTCTCATCCTTTGGGAATTCGATATTAAGAACAAGACAATTGGTGGCGGCGATATCGGAAACCACACGCTTCTCCCATAAAATTGCAGACGAGGATAAGAAGATTGTGTAGCATAAAACTTAACAAGCATCTCCCCAAAAACCGTTTATTGGTCGTAAAATCCTCCTTTATACACAAAAAATCTAAACGCAGTAGTATCCTTTTCTTTGACGTTTTTTTTCTGGAAACAACTACTTCTTGCTTGAATAAATATTTGCACCTGTTAACTTTTTCATTTGATTAGAATTGATCAGTTAATCAACCAGATGGAATATGGTGACCGACAAATTCGAAAGTATGAGTTTAGGAAGAGGAGGAAAATGACTGATCCTGATAATTGGCTGATAATTGGTCATATTGTTGGACTGAACACATTATTCTGGAACATTTCAGATCTTTTTAATTAACTATAAAACAAAGTGTCAAGACCTTGAATAGCATCTTAAATGCCCGTCATTTCACACGTTTTGAAAATTTCAAAAAACACACAAGGGGGCCTCTTATGTGATTTTTTCGATCAAAAATTTATTCTCGAGTTTTTTTGATTTTTTTATTAAACAGAGAAACAATTCAAAAAAAACGATAAAAATGAAAAAAAAAATTATATTAAGAGCTCAAAATTTGGCTCAAAAAAAACAGGATTTTTGATACCGGGCCCGGGCCTTGAAAATTCCTCTACTTGTAAAATTCCTGCCTTTTTCAAAATGAGATTCCGAACGAAATGTTTTGGAAGCTTTTTTGGAATCAATTCCAGATCGAAATATTTCCGATTTTTTTGGAGATTAGAGCTTATTGCATACTTGTAACGGGCAGGGCCGGGCTTTTTCCCAAATTTCGGAGGCCCGGCCCGGCGGGCCTGTCATTCCACAAGTTTTGAAAATTTCAAAAAACACACAAGGGGGACCCTTATATGATTTCAAAAATTTTTTTTCGAGTTTTGTTGATATTTTTTTATCAAACAGACAAACAATCCAAAAACACAAAAAATAATGGAGAAAATTGTATTGAGAGCTCAAAATTTGACTCAAAATGACAAAATTTTTGCTACCGGGCCTTCCGGGCCGGGCCCGGGCCTTGAAAATTTCCTCAGGCCCGGGCCCGGGCTTTGGCGGGCTGGCCCGGAATTTTACAAGTATGGCTTTTTGGATTACAATGTTTGTTAATTTTTCACCATTTTTTTGCTCTCTTGTGATTATGAAATAAGATTTCAAATATTCTGGATTTCAGAAAATTTTTCAAATCCCAGTTTTCATCCTGAACATCTTTTCTTCAGGGTTCGGTGAAGAAATTGAAATTTCGAAAAGTTTTTAAAAAGAAAATAAACTGAAATTTCACATTTCACTGTACCGACATTCAGCTTTATGCTGCAACCAACTTTTGTAGACTTCTAATTGGAAAAACGCTCGTGCCATCTATTTAACAATAATGAACATCCCAAATTGGCTGAAATTCTAGTACTACTGATTCTTGCTGCTCTCTCGTTTTTTGGTTCCGCTGCTCTTTCTGAGCAACATGTCTCTTTCATTTTTTTTTCGAGCAAATATTCCGTTTTGTTTCTCCTCGTTTCGGATCTCTTCTCTTACTGACAAAAATTCTCCCATTTCAAGAGCCGTAAAAAGTATCATTTGAATGGAGAATGAGATGACATTCCAGTGCTCGCTAAGAACACACTAATCGGTTCTTTTTTTCTGAAAACGAAAACATATATATCTTTTTTTCATCCCCTCATATCATCTCTCTTCATCACTTCGAATATTCCAGTGTTACTCACAAACAAAAATTATTTTTGAAAGTTTTCCTCTTTCTACTAGTTGTCGTTTGGAAAAGATAATGAAGTGAGCGGCACCAAACGGACAACAATTCGAGGGGAACACATTTTTGTTATTGACCTCACGAGAACAAAATGATTATTCTTTGTTATTTGTTCCGCTTCTTCCTGCAAAAAGTTATGTATTTCCAAACTTTTTATGACAAGGAATCCTATCAAATTACTATACTTCTATCTTCTTCTTCTTTTAATGTACTTGAGACAATTTGCCACCTGTTGTAAAGAGTGTGTGCCTAACTTCAGTTGTTCCCGACTTCTCTCTCAATTGGTTCTCACTGAAATCTATCCGTCAAAAGAGTCAAATATAGAATAAATCAACGGAGCCAAAAGCTCCATCAATCATTATAACATGTCTCTTTGCTGTTCCTTTTCCTGTTCCGTTCCTTCTATTACACTCGGAACCACCCAATCTGAATCGATAATTGCGGTTTGAGCACAGAGGCGAGAGAAGAGAGTGCCTCTCGAAAAACGTCTTCAGTCCGTGGCTGAGGCCGGTCGATGGATCTACGGACCAGCTGTCCACCGCTTTCCTCTCTTTTCTCTCTTCCTCTCTTCACACTGTTTTTGCGCGCACGTTGTACCAGAACGTTCGGCGTGCGGCACGTTCGAGGCGGGTCCACAATGTGAATTGCTCCAAAACATTTAATTTATCTTGTACCCTTGTCTCTATGTCATTGTTGTCTCTTCATTTTTATTTTGTTGTTTGGAAGCTTCGACTGATTTGAACATCAAAAATTGTAGTCTAAATCCGATTTTCATGTTTTAGATACATTTTGTACTTACCAAAAAATATATTTTTCTTTTTCCTTCCATCTCACCTGCCTCCATCTAATCCTTCTCTTTTCTCTTGCCTCACCAATCATCTCAGATTAACCAAAATGAGGTTTACAAGCCACTATTATATAATTGCCTCAGAGATTTTTTTTCGGGAATAAGCCGCAGTATTTTACGTGCGTTTTTGCAGAAACTAGAAGGATTATTAGGTCAAATAGGTTAACTTTCAACAAAAGAAAGTTACTGAAATAGCTTTCTTTCTAGCTGCTGCTGCCAATGATGTTCTGAGAAGTCCCTTCGAAAAAAACATCTATAGTGCGCAAATGGACCCTAGGGGGACACACTCACACCACACTCACTCATGCACTCACTAACAATAGTTTGAAACCACACCGTCCCCCTGCAAATGCAATCGTTTTCATTCAAATCTATTTTCCTTTTTCTCTCTCTCGCTCTCTTTACTTTCTCATTCCTAGTCAACTACTACTTTCACCCATAACTAACTCTTCAATCCGTTGTACCTCGGGTATTCGTACGCTTTATGGTACTTGAATGTTATGGTTGGTAGTGTTATTACGCGGCTCCGACCAGTCGGTTTCTCTCGCGGTACAATACAATTCTTTTGCTTTCGTATGAATCTGAGATGCCGCGCGAGAAAAGACGTATATGGTAGTAAATCTTGCAGAAGAATTCTACTCATATTCCGTTTTTCGATTTAGTTATTTCTTCATTTTGAGTTTTTTGAATCTTCTAGTCAGAACAGTCAAATACACGTTCACTTATTTGAAACATTTTCTCCGTCACATCACCCTCTTGAAATTTACTTCTGCTCTCACAAAGTTCAAGTAGTACAAAAAGTCATGCTTCACACGAAATGCTGCCACAATTTTTGTAGTTTTCCTCTTACTAATCATGCTGTCTTGGAAAAAGGAGAAAAGAAAAATTTGACACCTCTTGCGCAGAGAGTCTAATGATTTATAACAAAAAATCAAAGGGAAAGGTGAACAATAGAGCAACAGGGAAAGGGGATTCCTGTGCAAAGCTACAATCCCAGTGAGGAAGAGGCGACTGCTCTTTGATATTGTGCAAACATGTACATGTCGTCCATGTCCAGCTCAAAAATTGGCGTATTTCTGGATGGTAGGTCCCTGGGGTGTGACCGTCGGGTAGAAGAGGGCGGATCTCGATTTGTGTTGCACCCATTTCCCCTTTGTACATTTTGCGGTTTGACATGCCGGATGAAAAACGGTTTTTGAAGTGGAAAGCTGTGAAAAATGACATTTTTAAGTATTGATCATTCGAAATTAGTATGTTGTTGATTTTATGAAAAGTTGAGAAGATTTTCAAAAACCGGTCAAAGTCCGAGAATCAGTTTTTCGATTATTTTTCTTTATCTGCTTTCTCTTTTATCATTGTTCCCAATTACAGACTGAAAAATGCTGAATAATGATTTTTGTATAAAAAAATTCTCTAGTTCTACAGTAATCAGAAGTTTGTCTAATTAATAAAAGCTCAACGCTTCCTAAAGCCAGCATATTACCGATTTTCCTCTAATAGAAGCTCACTCAAACCGATAACTTTGAGCTTAATTATCTCGATACCTGTGAAAGATATAAAAAATATGTCAAGTAACAAATTATTTATCATAACCTCACCAATGTTTTGACAGTTGAAATATTTTAGATAGCTTTAACAGGAATCAGGATAATCGAGTTTAGCGTTGACGGTTCGGCTTTCATTAGAAGAAATACTGTATTCCAAGATTTATTCCCCATACTCACGTTTCTCCTGATCACAAATCTCCAGATACTTCGTCTCTGGAATTTTTACCAAACCCATTTTTCAAACCTTTTTCTGACCTTTGTTGATCTCATCACCATTTTCTTATTTACACGACAGTTTGGCGTAAACTTGTGAACCACTCCAAACTATTTTTTGCGGCACTCGGCCCTCGTGTCAAGCGGAGACCCTTTGACATCTGTTTCGAAATGGTCGAAAAAGCCGACGCCCCTCATTTGCTACCACGAAACTTCTTCATCACCTTCCAACCACAGACTTTTACGATTTTCTCGCGCCAACGAGAATTTCATTTTTATCTGAAGCCGTCATCTTCTTTTGCCGTACTCCTCCTTTCACATCTCGTAATATATTAGCGTATTAGGAAAGGAATGCACTGGGGAACATTAAGTATTCTGAATATGTCGGCGTCTTTATAGATGTGTGAGAAAGCCACAAAGCCTCTCATCTTGATGAGTTCGTTTGTCGTTGGTTATTTAATGGGATGAGGTCTGAACCAAACTACGAAACTGGATTAGCTAATGAAAATCAACAATTCAGATTCTTTACAATTCCCTAGTTTCATGGTGCTCAAGCAAGTCTCCGTGACTTTTTTCTTTTAGTAGTGTATGTAATTTGATCCGTATGTTTCATCTTCGATCC